TGATCAGCCGTTATTTGTTCTAAATAGTTTGATTGGTGGTCTATAAACGTTAATTTTATTCCACGGGAAAAGTTATATTCCGTCTTTTCCACATGGCCTGCAACTAATTTTAGCTGGAGCTGGAATTATCCTGGCTGCTGGCACCAGATTTGCCCTCCAATTGATCCTTGTTAAAGTATTCAAGAATTTGTGTTGTTGCACTTGCCTGACGTTTGGTTGTGTCAGCGATGTTTTTTTTTTGTTTTGTTTTTGAATTTAGTCATAATAAATGCATGGGTAAAGCTATCCATGTTAGCTACAGTGGTATTGCACTCTGAAACTGGGGGTGCCATATCGCAGCAAATACCAAATCTTGCATGATGTTTGCTTTAAAGGACCAGTGTTTTTAGACATCTAGTGGTGAAGTTACAGGTTGCAATTTGAATACAGCTAAAACACATTGTAATATAAGCATTTAAATGTTAATCATTTTAAAAGACAGAAATGGCATTATGTTTCATGAAAAATGCAGTGGATTTGCTTGCTTAGATCTCCTATTTTACCATGGCTGTTAGAAACTCTGTTTCAAATGCTGTAAAATATATTCTCCCATAAGTGTTTAATTATGATAATATCTGGTTATTAAAACAGCCATTTTGCACAGCCTACACACATCATGGAAAATTCCTCCTAGGATACAATTGGTCACTGCTGGAATTGCTATGCCAGCAGTGATTAGTTGTATTTGTCTAATCCTCTGAGGGAATATATAATTCTAGAAAACACTCTAGCATGACGACATAAATCTTTCTCAGTGGGATGTTCTAGTTTCCCTAATCTCAACTATACACTGCGTCTTTATATTTTGTCTTCCAGGCTACTCTGACCAAGAAATCCTGTCTGAGCCCATAGTAATCCCATGAGACTGCATGAAATATTTGGCTCTGTAAACAGCCTGAAGGCAAGAGAGCACACCAATCTCCGAGTGTCAGGGCTTCATGGATGATCTAAGACATGCTGATCAACAGGAACGCACTCACACCAAGACAAAACCATCAACACATAGCCTTTATGTATCCAAGCTGTAGGGATTTCATAGCATCAAGAACCTCTTTTTCGGATATGTTAGCATCCAGGCAGTTTTTATCATCAGGGTCTAATTTAGGCAAGGTTAATGAACTTAAAAATGTTTTTGCTTTAGTGTTCTCAATCCCATGTTCTGTCTTATATAGTGTCTCATAGAATAATTGAAATTCACAATTGATATCGTGGATTAAAAAGAGACCTTCCATTGTCTGTGATAATAAAATGTATAGTTTTTTCATTTTCTTCCATTTTAATTTGCCAAGCTAGTAGCTTGCTGGTTTGATCGCCGAATTCGTAGTAATGATAGCTGGTCCTAGCTAAATCAGCTTTAGCTTTATTAGTACATAAGTTATTATATTGAATCCATTTTAAAGACAAGGTATTGAGCGCCACTTGTGTGAGCATGTTCATGCTCCAGGTCTCTAATTTCGTTTTTCCAAATTCGCAAGAGTTTTCTTTTTTTCCTCCTGATCTTGGTGAGCTATATGATGGTCTGGCCTCTCATATACGCTTTTAAGGCCTCCCATATAAAAGCATGAGAAGAGGAATTAATAAATAAAGCATATAGGATTTAAACCTCCAAGTAAAGGGTTTCGATTGTGTAGCATCAATCTCCAAGGTCATTTTCATAGGATTATGATCGGACAATGTAGCTGATAGATAAGAGCAATCAGTGACCCTGGCAGCCATATTGTGGGTTATTAAAAACCATGTACAAATTCTGGAATACGGACTTGTGAACATTTGAAAAGAACGAAAAGTCTTTAGCTTTTGGATTAAGCTGCCGCTAAATATCGCACAGTCCCAAATCCCTCATCCCCCTGAGCAGAACTGAGGCAGCCTTAGAACTATTAAGAGATCTTGGGGTGGATCGATCTAAATTGGGGTCAAATACCAAACTGAAGTCACCACCAACCAAACAGTGCCCCTCAGCAGTTGCAAGTTTTAATACAAGGTCATTAAAAAAAGCAGGGTCGTCGTGGTTATATTAACAAGTGTTCAATTCACCCTTAGTGTTCAATTCACCCTTAACTAAGATAAATCTTCCATTACCATCTTTTTCTATTGATATTAATTTCAAGTTCAGTTTTTTATTGATAAGG